TGGATCTTTTTTTGGTATATCCATTACCATTCTCGTGGACGATGGTTTATGATCCGGTTTGGCATAAATTTGAGCTCAACATCACAGGACACATCATTGGTCGTGTTGAAGAATTTTTGGGTCAATTCATTTGATTTTTACACTTTGAGAGTTTATGTTTCCACATTGTAGTTGTAACAATCATTTATGCACTACATTTAAAACTCTACATAAAAGTTTACTCCTATGTGAATTTGAATTTATTTAATGCTTTGTTTAAGTTAGGATTCACATCTTATATTGTAGGTATTAATATACTAAATGCATTTATATAGCTGTATGTTGAATATATTGGGTCACATGATTCGCGAACGACTAAGGGATCATTTCACTTGCAACAAATCAAATATTAACAAAGTATTTAAGTAAACCTTCCCTTATTTTTATGTGTACATCACATGGTTAAATATATAATACATTTTACCTAGATTACCCTTATGTAAACATGATATTAGATTATTAATTTTATGTCACTAATGCTTCTTATGACATATTCTTACATGGTAATGTATCCATAAGCAGTCATGAAATTACACAAAATAAAAAGTTTTCTATGTCAATATGTCAAGAAATATTTAAAGCGAAAATTAAACCCACACATGATTTTTTAAGTTTCAAATTTAAAGTCTGATTTAAAATATTTTTATTCAAAAATCAGGAAATAATTCAATTATTATTATTATTATTATTATTTTTATTATTATTATTATTATTATTATTATTATTAACATAACCCCACCCCGATTTCACCACCATACCCTAATTTTTTCCTCATTCTCTTCTCCCTCTCTCCTTATAACAGTGATGCTCATAGTCAACGTTACACAATTAGTAACCAATTATTTGCACAGTTAGATAGTGTTAGAGGTGGAGGTCTAGGAGGCAGAGTGAAGTAGGTGGAGAAGCAGGTAGTGGTAGTACACTGCAAAGTAGAGTTGGAGGTGGATTAGAAGGTGGAATTGGTGGTGGGTTGCGAGGTGGAATTGGCAATGGACTTTGTGGAGAGGTGGTGGTTGTGGATTAGGAGGTGGAGCTAGCGACGGCTAGGAAAAGGAGCTGGTACTAGGGCTGGTGCTGAGGTGTTGTGTCATTCGATTGGTGCCGATGATGGATTATGGGCTAGGATCGGTTCAGATGGGAAGTAAATTATTTTTGACCAATTATTTTGGTGATTGTGATCAATAAATTGGTCAACTTGTGATCAATAAATAATATATGATCGACAAAATAGATAATTTGTGACCAAGAAATAGTATGTAAAATTATTGCTAAATTTGTAATCGTGACTCACAATTTGTTAAGTTATAATAAATTAATTTAATAATTTGTGACTGTGAAATAAGTTATGGCGTATAAAATTTATAATTTGAGATCGTGAAACAATGCGTGACCTATTAATTCGATAATTTGTTACCGATAATTAAATTGTAACATATAAAATTTATGATCGACAAATAATGCGGGGTCAATTAATTTGATATTTTGTGATGATAAATAAGTTATTACCCATAAATTTGGAACTTGTGACTCTGATGTTTTGTAATTGTGATAAGTACATAATTGTGACCATAAATTGTATAATATTATGACCTAATATATTTAATTAATATAAAATTTTAATTTTCTAATTAATTAATAAAATGTAATTATGGTCTAATTTTTTGAAATTTTAAAACAAATTTCTTAATATTGAAATTGTATATTTCAAGCACCTTAGATATGAGTTGTTCTTTATTTTAAAAAGATATGTATCCTGAATGTTTTTGTTAAAAGATATATGTCTATATCATGAAAGTTGTTAGTGAAAAATGAGGCGTGGGAGGGTTTGTGTACTCGATCAATGTTTAATGTTATTGTTAACCTTTTTGTGATATCATCGGTAGAATGAATCAAGTTCCAAATAATAATTGCCCATTGCATTCTAGTTGGTCAAACAATATATAAAGTGAGCTCAGATGTTAATGTTATTTATTTATTTTTTTTTTTTAAACAAATGAAACAAAATGGGATACATAATGAATAAAACTATTTTTTTTTTTTTAAGTAGTGCATATGGTTTGCTTACTAAGCGTTTACTTATTTCACGTTATACCTCTCAACTTTTCAAATGATGAAGGCATGATTATTCGAGACGACTGCTTGTAGTAAGAAGAACTCAATATTAACACATTTATACATTGAATTCGTTTTGAAAATAAAGTTAACATCTAATTTAATTAGTTTATATTTTTAGAAGGTGCATATTATTTTCATAAATAAAGTCAATGATGCTTATTATGTTGAAGAAAAAAATTAAATCTCTTTTTTCGCATTTATGATTTAGTCCCTGTTTGATCCCCATTAAATTAAATTACATTACATTCCATTTTTCTCTCTCCTATTTTCAACCACACAATCTTTCATAAAATAATATTACACGTAAATCGAAAACTTTTCCTTCCTTTTCAACCACTCATTTTTCTAAAAAATACTATTCTCCCATTTTCGTTTTCAGGTAATAGAAATCAAACAGGAACTTAAATAGAAAATTATGGTAATACTTTCAAGTTTAGGATATTGAGATTTAGGGTATTGCAAAGACACTCCATTTGCATAATTTAAATATGGATTATGCTACTTGTACATAAAAATAGTATATAAGGGATTACATAAAATGATGTGATTGGAAACGATAGGAAGAAAATGTTGATTGTGTTTAAATTTGCAAATGATAAAATGATATGTGGCATTATGTAACTCACTGTGTAAAACTTGACGTACCTATGGCAAGATCTTTTAAATATAACATGCTATAGTGTTAATCAATCTCAGAAAAAGTTATTCATAATTCTTTAATTTGTCCAAATTAATATATTTTAAAACTTTTAAGGGAACATAATTATGCAAAAATCCGTTTCACTTTTAGATATAAATCACTGATTCCATTTCTAGGATCCCCCCCCCCCCCCCCCCCCACACACACACACACGCACTATATATATTGATCGAAAATTGGAGCACTGGAGAGAGCAAAAATTGTCTTCAATACGCAACATGAATTTGTTGATCTATGATAACTACAACTCCAATTTTTTGTTGAACTATAATGCATTACACATTACTAATACCATACATAGGGGAAAAAAAAAAGTTTTATCATCCTGGTTTCTAAATTTCTCCATTTTAATATAATAAGAATATCAAATAAATTTAGAGTTACCTTAGTCCATCGAAACGGTGATAATTTACTGAAGTCGTACACTTAACACTTGTTTGATTCTTCTTCCGAAAAATTTGATTCTCCATTTTTAAATTTGTAGACCATGAACACTAATTTCTCTGAATTGTGTCACTTTTAATGAATCTAGTAACTTTTTATTATCCAAATGTCCCTATTTGTTCCCTATTACAATTGCAAAAAATCAATAGAAAGAGTAGGCTTAGGTAAAATGATTTTGAGGGATAAAATTTGTCATTGTGTTTAGGAATCTAAGGAAAAAATTGGAAATCAGTTTTTGCAGCGGCAATTCATTTTAATTGACATAAAAGAATGTACAGATTTTTGCACTATTCAAAAATCTATTATCTATAATATATTAAAATATCATATCAATATAGAATCATTTTTTAGATGATTTTATCCTTCTTATAATTCAAATATTTCAATAATACCTTACTTTTCGTTTTTCGATATGTAATAAATACTACATAATTATTATCATTTATGAAATTTGTGTTATGAATTCTTAATTAATTAACATTCACCTTAACCTAGATTCAATGAATTGTCATTTGATGAATCTTGAAATATAGGAATCTAGAGTTATTATAAATGAATTTATTCATATTCATGAATCTAAAAATTTTAATGAGCGTTTAAATTTATGTATTAACAATTAATTTTTATGTATCAAATGTAATATAAAAAGATTGATCATTTATAATATTTCATCATTACAAAAAATTTATATCACAAAAAATTGAGTTTTGAGAGTAAATTAACATTCACATTAACCAAAATTCAATGAATCTTGAATTATATGAATCTAGAGTAATTATATATGCATTCATTCATATTCATGTATCTAAAAATTTTAATGATTGTTTAAATTTATTTATTAACAATTAATTTTTATGTATCAAATGTAATATAAAAAGATTGATCATTTATAGTATTTCATCATTAAAAAAAATTTAAATCATAGAAATTGAGTTTTGAAAGTTCAATTTGAGAAAAATTATCCTTTCTTAAATTTCTATGCTAAATTTTATTTTTTTTAATTCGTTCGAAACTTATCAAATCCTCTAATAAATTGGTACCAAATATTATTTTTTTATCACTTATAAAGTATTTTAGAATAACGTACAATACACGTTTAATTTTGACTAGTATTACTAAAGGTGTGGAACAAGTCTATCCCAATCGGGGCCTAATATTAAATTAATGAATTCTTCTCGACTCGAGTGATTGTGAATATTAAATTTCAGATCTGTCCACCAAACTCTTTCTTTAAGGAGTAATACTGTCAAAAATATACATACAGGTCAAACCAAGCTCTGCCCACGAAAAATTGGGCCCATGCGTCCAAACCATCAAGGCTTGTCTACCAAAATTAAATGTCACAAATTTCTAACAAGAGTGGGTGATCGGTATCAATCAAATCTTTTGTAGGTAAATAAATTGCTTGAATAGAAATTATGGACATTTCTTCTTTTTAACTTACGATCATACTTAAAATTTAATTGATTTTTTTTTTTTTTTACTGTGATTATATGACAGTTTAATGAAAAATTGAATAGTTTCTACGCACTAAAAACTGGTAGCATGACTATGATGAAAAAACTAAGACGAACATACTTCTTTTCAAAGATTTAGGACTAACTTGAAACTACAAAATAACTTGGGACCAATATTGAAATTTCCCCAAAAAGAAAAGAAAGTGTTAGGCGAGCAAGATGGCTGATGAGATACTATGTGAGGAAAGAGTTGATTGGCTAGGAACCAAATTATTTGACTGTATCTATAAAGAGATAGGATATACAAGACGCCCTATTGTCCAGTTCAAGAGTTTCTATAATTGGTTCAATATTTTCATAGCTTAAAATTCCAATGGCTACTATCCTTGAGCAATGTCATATTCAGCCTTCACCAAGCAACGTCAATGAGTTTACACTTCCCCTTGTATCCTTCGATATAGTATGCTTGGATTTTAATCCAGTTTATGGACTTCTCTTCTTTGAATTCCCTTGTTCCAAGGATCATTTCCTGGAAACCATTGTTCCAAAGCTCAAACAATCTCTCCGCGAAACTCTCAAGCATTTTCTTCCATTCTCCGGCAATATAATCCGCCCAATAAACTCCGGCTGGCCTATTTCTCGTTACGTGTTGGGGGATTCAGTTTCTCTAACGATTGCTCAGTGCGATAAAGACTTCAATCATCTCACTGGGTACCATCCCCGGGCTGCGGGTGAATTCTACTCCTGCCTTCCTGAATTGCCGCCTGCAACCCATTCATCGGATTTCATCATATTTCCAGTTACAGCCTTGCAAGTCACACTATTTCCTGGCCACGGCATCGGAATTGGTTTTACGAACCATCACACCATTGGCGATGCCAATACAATTTTTGGTTTTGTGAGAGCTTGGGCTACGGTTACCAGATTTGGTGGAGATTCACGGTTGTTTGAGGATCAACTTTTGCCTTTTTATGATAGAACTTCTATTGCAGATCCAGAGGGACTCGATTCCATATATTGGGAACTGATGAAGAAATGTAGGCCAGTGGATTCTCCAACTCTTAAGTTTAATCTCGATTCCAATAGAGTGCGTGCCACATTTGTAATGACCAAAGACGATGTCAAAAAACTCAAGAACTATGTTTTGGGAAAGCTACCAAAGACAAACCACGTATCATCTTTCACCGTAATCTGCGCACATTTATGGGTTTGCCTAGCAAAATCTTTAGCTGCCATAGGGGAGGATGTAGCGGACGATGAGGTCGAGTATTTCTGTTTTCCTGCAGATTGTCGAGCACACCTGAATCCACCATTGCCTGCTAACTATTTTGGCAATTGTTTAGCATTTCTCAAGGCAGAAATAGCACACGGAAAATTGAAGACAAATGAAGGGTTCTTAATTGCTGCAGAGTCCATTGGGGATGCTATTCAGAACACAGTGTATAACAAGAAGGGTATCTTGGATGGAGCAGAGAACTGGCCTTCGGATTATTGGAAATTGGAAGGAAAACGAATAGTTGGAGTGTCCGGATCGCCAAGATTTGATCTCTATGATGCAGATTTTGGTTGGGGAACGCCCAAAAAGTTGGAAGATAATAATACAGATGGTGATACCGATACATCAATGTCCTTTTGTAAGTCAAGGGATTTCCAGGGAGGTTTTGAGATTGGCTTATCGAGGCCCAAAGTTCTGGTGGAAGCTTTCGCACGGATGTTTACCATCTTACCCGGAAATCCATAGGTTCTGCATTTCAAAATTTTCTACCACGATTGTAGTTTTTGTTGGGTTATGTGCTCATGTACTAAAAATAACATCTTTCAATAATAAATAAATTATAGTTTTTATTTATTTTATTGAATTTATTTATCGTTCAACATGCAAATTAAATTACCTATGATCACTAATAAGAGTTCTGCTACATGTACAAATTTTTTTTCACTTATTTGGTGAAGGATTTTCTGTACATTTAAAAAAATCCCATTAATAATAATATTGTCTTTATTATTTCAACTTTGGTGACTTAAAAGTTTGAAAGTCAACTTTCGAGTGAAATGTCGATATTTTCCTTGAGGACTCGTGGGGTTTCAATTTGATTTGATTAAGATTGGAGTACTGTTTTTTAAATTTAGAAAAAACCTCAAGGGCCAGTACCCGCATATCAAAAGTTTGCCCAAGAACAGGGACATAATCTACAGGGAATTTTGGTCACTAAAATAGCGTCATTCGACACTAATCTCGATACATTTTTCACCGAAATTGGTATGATAGATTTATCTGTATTGAACAATATTAATGTTCAAATTTATTGGTCATTTATTCTAAATAGTTGGTCACATGCACCAAATACCCCACCACCGATCCCGATCAGTACCAATCTTCGTCACAAATCACCACCGCGCAATTGTTGCTTGCACCACTCCAATCTACAATCTTCCACAATTGCAACCACAACATGAGTACACCATTGAACACTTTGCAAGTTAGGGAAATTTGCATCTAACTGGGATAGAAACAGAAATTAGCAAAACAAGCAAGACAATAAGAGAAAACAAAAATTAGCAAACAAATAAAAGAAAGAGAAGAATTACCAGTTGGCACCATATGGCCGCTGCCGGACACAGCCTAGTTCCTTTTAATTTTGCCATTCTTTACTACTAGATCTATTTCGTTGAGTCATTGGACACTTAGCTTACAATTCTTACGGATTTTGAAGGCCAAATTTGTAGAAGAATTTGGTCTTAAGAGAGGTTCAAAGGCATGATGGGGCTTATTAATATGGAGGCTAATACTAGAAAAATTATCGTCGGCTGGGATGGCACAGCACTGCAGCAACTATGCCGTTGCTCGAGTTTCACATCTTCAACGGTGGCGACACTTCTCAACATTTACGGTTATCGATGGAGGGTAGACATGGAGGAGAAGTCGGTGTGGGAAGAGAGACGGAATTGAAAACTGAAATGGGAGAAATGATTAGGGTTTTTAATTGATTGGGTATTAATTATATATACTACCTGAATTTTGTATAAGTAAACTTCATCCCTGAATTTTGAATTTGAAAGTTCAAGTACTTGATTTTACGTTATTTTCCCTTAATTGAATCTCCTCTTTGAATTTCAATTGAGACTCCAATTTGAAGTTTAAAAAATGATAGCCCACAAACATGGGCTAAATTTTTGTACCTGTTCAAGTAAAACCAAGAAATCTTATGCAACACATAATAATTCCTTCATAAGTGTTTAAATTTGGAGAAAGAAAGAGATAAAAAAAAACTGTTGTCTTCTTTTCTTCATCTATCTTGACTGAAATTTGTTTCTTAATTTAATTAAAAGAAGGGTTCCACCCGTTGGTGTAGTCTTGACTCTCAAGAATATCAAGGAAGACTTGGAGATTTGGAACATCAAGTTCTATAGAATTTAAAGTTGAAAGCTTGTGATTCAAAATGCTGAAAGCTCATGATTCAAATCAACTTCAAGAATTAATCATCGAATTTAGGTAAATATTCATATCATTTATTTTTATATAAAATACACACAATCATCTAGACGATCATATATTTTGGAATTAAAGAAATTTTTTAATTTTTGGATAATTCTTATTTTGCTTTTTACCTTACATTTCAAGGGATCACAAGTTCTATCAATTTCTAACTACATATATTATCAACTTTTATAAAAAAGCTTGTCACACAACCTTAAGCAAATATAAACAACAAAGGGATGAAATAGGAGAAAGGCACATATAGAAAGAGATGATTTTGGAACCTTTTATTTTTTTTCTATTCTTTTTCTTTCAGGCATTTCAGTCATATACAACTGAGTATTCTATTTAGCCGCATTGATGCTTAACACCATTCTAGATGACAACATATGTCACATTCAATGATAAATTTAAATGAAATGGGATACGATGAATATAATTTGATCTATTATATATTGTCACCTAAACTGTTGCTATAGCATTAATAAAAATAGATAGCATTACTCTTTACAAAGTAAACATTGATCATTGATTAGAAATGACTTTCTTAATGCTTCCTACAATTCTCATTACCATATATGTTAGTTGATTTAGACCAACTCGGATTAAACTCAAACTCTCCCTTTTCGCTCCATTTACCTCCAAAGTTAGGTTTTTACCCTTGATGACAACATTTAATCTAATGAAGTAGAAATGCACTAAATTCTTAAGTATCTACCAAATTTATAAGCCAAGATAAGTGTGTAGAACATACTTATAAACATGCTAGAAATTAACTTAATTTTGTGTTCATCCTGAGTAAAATTTCATATCCAAACACCATAATCCTTTTGGTTGGATATATGTGGGTATTGAGTTACCAAACACCAGTACTAAAAAACAATAACATCAATCGTTTAATAGTTCGTTTTGTGTTTTTTACTTTTTGATTTACTAAAAAATAATAATGGCTGAAGATTACCAGTGAGTTTAATAACTTTAACTTTGAGCTCCTCGTAGAGATTTTTATTGAGTTGCTAAAGAACAATAACCTTAATTGACTGATTGAATTATTAATACTTAGAAAGACCTTACGTAAATGAAAGTTTACTTGTCCAATAGTTCTTTTTTGAATTTGTTTCATGAGAAATAAATTATTTTTTTATTTTATAAATTTTTTTATTAAATAATTTTTCCTTTTTCTAAAAAATAATAAAATTTAAATGTAATTATATTATATATAAGAATGTCACCTTTAGACAGATGTAGAAACAATGAAGTATATATATATAATGGTAAAAATCATATTCTTGGAATTAATTTGACTATTATATCTTTATTTAGCTCATGTGTTTGGAATGAAAATGTTGGAAATTTATTGTTCAAAATCAAAGGAAAAAAAAGGGGGGGCAGCTTAATCCATGCCGTCGCATGAGGCCCTCCTGAAAATGGGAGGGTGGCGATGCTATAACCATGCGACCGCATGGTTATCAAAACTAACTGTTAGGTTAGTTTTTTTGACCGTTTTTTATTTGAAATTGGTGGTTTTTCATTCTTGTTTTGCACCATTTCGTGAAAAACTTGTTAAGGCCTATAAATAGATGATCCAAGTGCAAGAAAGATACATTGAGTTCCATTAAAATTTATCCCCAAATATACTTCCAATATTGAGAAAATTTATCACATAATTCTTCCGTTTTAACTTGTTCATTGTGAAGAAACACCTTCGCTTTTTGGTGTTCTTCTTGTCAAGGCTTGTTTAATCCTATAAACTATTTGCCGAAAATCCTTAAAAAGTATTGGAAAGGAGGCAAATAACGTTTGAGGACAGCGAGATTAATTTCGTGTTCAAACCTTCATTGATATACTTTTATAATTTTCTTCTCCATTGCCATTATTTTCAACAATCTCAAACGTTATTTATTACTATTATTGCAATGGAGACAGAATCTACAATTGCTACTATCAAAATGATAAATCAAGACCTAGTACGTTTGGACAAATTCGATGGTGTAAATTTCACAAGATGGCAAGACAAACTTAAATTTCTATTAACGGCCTTGAAGATCTTCTATGCGCTTGATCAAAAACTGAGCCCATTCCCGATGCAATTGACAAAGATACCGAAGAAATTCGCGTAGAAAGGAAGAAAGGGAAAGAGAACTAATTGATATGTCGTGGCCATATCCTAAATGCGTTATCCGATTGCCTCTATGATCTGAACACCAACACTACATTAGCAAAAGAAATATGGTAGGCGCTAGAAAGCAAATACAAAGCCGAGGAGAAAGGTACCAAAACGTTCTTAGTATCTAAGTATTTTGATTTCAAATTTTTGAATAATGTACCATTATTGCCTCAAGTGCATGAGTTATAAATAAGTGTAAACAAACTAAAAGCGGTGAAAATCGAACTTCCCGAAACTTTCCAAATGGGAGCAATTATTGCTAAACTTCCTGGTCCTTGGAAAGGATATAGGAAGAAGATTCTTCACAATTCAAAAGATTTTTTTTTTTTTGGAAGATATACAAAAATATCTTCATATTGAGGAAGAATCAAGGGCAAGAGATAAGATTGAAAATTCTTATGAAGGCCCTTCAAAGGCTAATGTCCTGGACAATGTGGACAGCTCCAACAAATTTAAAAAGAAAGGAAAATTTCTTGGTCCTAGAAAGGATCAAGGAAAGTTCAAAAACAATGCCAAAGGACCTTGTTATGTTTGTGGAAAATCGGGATACTATGCCAAGGATTGTAGACATAGAAAACAACAAAAGAAGGAAGGACAAGTGAACTCTGTTGATGAGATTATCGCAATGGTGAATGAAATCAATGCAATCCAAGGCAAAGTTCCGGGCTGCTGGTACGATACATGCGCTATAATCCATGTATGTTATGCTAAGTCTCTTTTCAAAACTTATCATGACATTGAAGACAATCAAGAGATACAAATGGGAAATGAAAGAAGATCAAAAGTGATTGGTAACTCATTTTCTCTTCAGAAAAAGAAATCACTTTAACAAATGTCTTGCATGTACCGAAAATGAATAGAAACTTAGCAAGTGTTGTACTCTTGGGAAAACATGGAATTAAATCTATTTTTGAATCTGAAAAGCTTGTATTAACCCATAATGGGCACTTTGTTGGATATGACTATTCCACCGAAAGAATGGTCAAACTATGTACTGTTGAGGATAACTCAAATAAAGTTAAATCTTTTGCATATGTTATTGATTCATTTAATTTATGGCATGGTAGATTAGCACATATAGGAGTTAATACTATGAAAAGAACGATTAAATGTGGATTAATACAATGTGATATTGACAACTTTAAAAAATGTGAAACATGTGTTAAATAAAAAATGATTAAAAAGCCATTTCATAGCGTAGTAA